AACGCGAGGTCTCTTCCGAGGCTCCAGAAAAGTAATCTCCGACGCGGGGGAAACACCGGCGATAGGCTGAGGGCGAGGAAAGCAGGGAAGCAGAGAACGTTTTCCTCCAAAGGAGGGTTTAAAGGTGAATCCTGCTCCGGGCACGAGCCTGGAAGCCGCTGCGCACGAGCTGGAGGGAGCCGAGGATGCCGGCGATGTTTGCCGAGGAGGCGGAGGGCTCTCGGGGCCGGATGTTTTGTCTTTGGAGCGAAACCAAGAATCCAGCCGGGCAGCGGAGAAGCGGCCGCTCCTCCATCACGTCCGTGCTCTCGAGGGAGCCGAGGCGAAGCCCCCGACGCTTGGCATTAAACCCCTCGTGCCGCGAGCAACTCTTTCCGCCAGTTCATCCCCGCCACCGGCAAGACACCAGCCCCAGGCCTCGTTAACATGCCGAGGTCATTAAGCAGCACAGGGCAGCCCGAATCTGATAAGCCAGCGGTGGGTGCAATTAATGACTCCAGATGATGCTGTGAGAAGCAGGCGTTCGCTCCGTGGGATGAGCAGCTCCCAAACCGCCCTCATAACCGCTCCGCAGGTTCGTTATCACCCCACGGGCCCTCAAGGACGCCGTATTTTTGCCAAGTTATTTTTCCAGTACCACCAGCATCGGAAGCGGGCAGGAGCTGGGAGCGTGTATGTCTATTTAAGGCCATGTACTGGCAACGATTTCCTTTTTTTTTTTTTCCTTCCCCCCCTCCGGCATGTTTGCCGATGCCGGGAAGGAGGGACGTCGGGAAGGAGGGACACTGCGAAGGAGGGACGCTGGCAGATCGTGCCCTGCTGTTCCAGTCACATAGCTGAGATTCCAGAGGAGAAACCCCGGGGACTGGACACATACCAGCAGCAAAACCGCAGCCGTTGGGATGGCTCCGCACCGGCACGCTCCGAGCGGGAACGTCTCTGTCCTTCCACCCTGGCTAACTTTCACCCCCAGCGAGGGACCGGGCGAGACCTCAGTCGTTTCCATTTCAACGCAGCAGATGTTTAAGGGATCCAAGGCTTGAAACTTGCCGTCTCCTTCCCTCTCTGAAGCCAACCCCGACTGAGCGGGACGTTCGGCACGCTGGTAGCTTCCCCCGAGACCAAAAAGACACAAAGCCACTCCAAAAAAAAATTACTTGACTTGAAGACGAGCACGCTGGTCCTTCCAACACCCGCAGAGGAACCGTTTCCAACGCCGTCTATTCCTCCTCCGAGGATCAAGACTGACTTTGAACCTCATCCTCACCTTCGGGAAAGCAGGGATGTACAAGGAAGACAGATCCCCGAATTCCTGGAGTCGCTGGCGGCTTTCTGCTCTGGGCAGCACGTCCGTGCCTGATCCCTTGCCCGAAGAGGTGAAGATGAAGAGCCGCTGCGGAGACAAACTCACCGCCGGCTGCAGACGGAGAAGGGGAGGACAGAGAGGGGGATGGCCAGACCCGGGGAATGCTTCCGATGGGCCGGGTGCCGAATCGGGGCAAGGAGGGGGGGAGTTTGCAGCCTGCTAATTAGACAGTTCTCCACCCAAAGCTAACGAGGCCTTGCTTTTGAACCAGCTGGAATTTATAACCGCTGGCTCCCGAACCTCATCCATTTGCCGGCGTGCCGGCTCACCCGCGCTCGGCAGCTCGGGCTGTGAGCCACGAGGCGGATTCACCCTCCCAGCCTCCCCCCTCCGCCGAGACTAAACAGCTCCACGATGGCTCTGCCGAGCCGCACGTCGGCCAAAACCCTCTCTAAATATTGCATCTCCTTCACTACACGTGAGGCTGCGGCACGGCAGGGCTGGGGAATCCGGCGGCAGCTCAGCC